TTATAATTCAATCATACGTATACTCATTTTTACATTTATGCTTTGGTATAATTTATTTATCTACATTTTTTTATAATATTCTTTTAACTTAATTTTAAATTGTTCTCTTCTTTGGTCATCTTTATTTCTTTCGGAAGCCCATTGAATAATTTTATAGCACTCCATATAGTATTCTGCCTGGTTTTATTTGTTTTTATTTGTTTTAGATGATAATCTTCCTGTTGTCTATTGTCATGTATTTCCTTATTTATAGTTATCGATGTGCATGTTTTGATTTTGTTATATTCAATCTTATGTATTAATTTGCATTTTTCTATTTTTATAATTTTATTTAATGGTAGGTTATCTGTTACATATTGAACTTCTTTAGTAGGTGTGAAATAGGAGAGATTATAGGTTATTTATCTCTAATGCTTTTTATATATTTTTTTGTAGTTTGACTCCATGTTGCAATTCCATACATAGTTATAGGTATTATGTGCGCTTTCAGTATTAAAATCTTGTGTTTAGTTCCAAAGTAGTGTATTCTGTTTAGTGCTCCTGTTAGTGCGACAACCTTTTTTTTCATTTTTTTTATGTGGTCTGTCCAAGTTAATTTTTGATTGATTACGAGTCCTAGATATTTTATATAGTTCACCTCTTCAATTTCAGTTTTGTTAACTTTAAGCTTTAATTTATTTTTTCTTTACTTCTATTTGGTTTAAAATATATGTATTTTGTTTTTTCTGTATTAATGGTTAATTTGTTCTTAATTAGCCAATTTGAGTATGTCTTTATGTCTTTATTTATATTTTGCTCCAGCTTATATTGGCCTTGTCTGCATATAATATCGCTGTATCGTCTGCGTATAGTATATATCCTCTCTTTAAGTTTGCATCTTTCAAGTTGGTTGTATACACAAGGTATAACAAGGGCCCAGGACTGAACCTTGTGCTACTACACATGTTAATTTGCATATTTCACTTGTGCAATTTGCAATCTTTGTCCTTGTTAGAAAATCTTTTAGAATGCTGAGAAGAATGCCTTCCACTCCTAGTTCTAAAAGTTTAATTTTTATTGAAAACTGAGCCAATAGTTTGAATATCTAAATTTTTATTTTTATTTATTTCACTACCTTCATTTATTATTATTATTATTCATTTTCAGGGTGAAAGTATATTCCTGAAAGATCGAAAATTAAATGTTGCCCCAGCAATTAAGAAGCAGGTACCATTGCATATTAAAGTAGCAAAATTTGTTTTATATCTTTATTCATTCTTTATGTGTAATTCATAGCCATTTAATCGTTCGTTTGAGGAACCTGTACCTGCTGTAAATGCTACATCAGGAACTTTATATTACAACTCTGGTATGGTGCCAGCTGGATATAATTTCCAAGGTGGTGTTTTATATTACAATACAACTATGAATACTCCTGAGCCACCGATGTATCCATGTAAGTAGAAAGAAATACTCATGACAGGGTCTTGCACAAAACACTTATACGTATGTATATCATTGCAGCGATCACCCCATATAATCCATCAATTCCTGCATCACCGTATCAAATGTTATATCAATGCGCACCTCCTGTCTATGTGCATCCGAATTATATTCAGCAACCTTACCAGCCATTGCAAGTAGGAGTCAATAATGTATATTACAAGTGATTGTGATCTGGTGTGAGTATTAATTTTCATAATACATATTCTTTGAAAACATTACAATTAATTTAAATTCATGAATTAAATGCATTTAACATGCACTGGTACTACATAAACCACATGAAAAGGACTACATACCAATTACTTTGATATTTATTCTTTATAGCTTTGAAAATGTAAAAATAAGCAGTTTGCATAAATGATTGATGATTTTGTGATACGTAATAATTGAGAACAATCTGTTTTTTCTTTACATATTCACACTAATTAAGCATGTCCGGTTTTTCCATTGTTCAATTTAAAATTTATTTAAGCAATGAAAATTGTAGGTTGTGAATATGTTAGATAGGATGACTAGTATTTCTATTTTCAAATGTGGTATGGCATTTATTTTAAAGGAGTTTGACTGATGTTTTATAATTTTTGTTTCTAAATTCTGACGAGCAAGTTGAATTGTAAATCACTCGTTGAACAGACTTCATAAAATAGAGAATGTTTAATAAAATTTATTTGATCAAAAATTTACTTCTATTGTGCTTGAAAATAGAAATAATCAAATATAAATTATTGTATAGTATTTATTGATTCTTCATAATATTTGCTGGACAATGAAATGGAAGGAAAGAGATATATATTATAATTAATATAAATTATAAATATAATATAAATTAAAATCTACTTAAATAGCTGAAATGTCAAATTTTGATTTGGCAATTTAATTTAAAACTTACGTAACTCGTAATCAGATACAAAGAATTATAGACTAATTTATAACACTGCCCATCATATCTGAATCAACATATTAGAAATTTGCTGCTGTATATTTTAATTTATCTAAAAATGTAATAGCTATCTATGGTTTGCTTAGAAAAGCTGCAAAAGTTTGTAATGAATAATTACAAATTTTTATAATCAATACTATAAATTAGTTAGGATTTAAATAGATAAGTTATTGTTATTAATTTATTAAAGTTATTTATTTTTATCTGCCTACCAGATAATATTTAGGAATTAAGAACTATTCTTAGACAATTTATGAAAAATGTGATTCATATATCAAGTTTATTCATGGTTGTAGATTTTTAATTCACAGTGAAATATGTGCACCTGTTAAATATGCATATTTAATTAATAAATTGATGTAATTATGAAACTTCAAAAAATGTGCTAGCTATATTTGTGTCAAATTATGTACTAGATGCAAGCATATTGTGATTGTAAAATACTATGGCAATAATATGTATTCAAGTAACTTAAATGTAAATAAGTTTAAATAATTTTTAGTTAGCTAACTAATATACAATAATTTATAGTTAACTAACTTTAATAGTCATTAAAAATCAGTGAATGGATTATGAACTTTAGCAATAGTTGTGTATATTTCTGATTATATGTAAATAAATGTAATATATAGTGGAATAATATAAGTACGTGTAATAGATCATATATTAAATTGAGTGTTGCACCTCAGGTGTGAACATTTTATGGTCTTTACATGGCTTCCTCTTATATTTTGCCTAAATAATTTCTCTTGACAAAGGCTGAGTTAGGAAATCAAACGCTCTTGTTCGAATATTCTTATCATAGAAGTTGTGCAAAGATCAAAAAACTTTCATGTCGTGAGGGCATAAATTATTTGTTAAACAATTCAAGATTATTTTATGTTATTTGAGTATATTGCTTAAATAATTTGTTACAAGAAATATATTGTTAACGTTAATGGTTGTTTCAATATTCTATTTTAGGTGTGAATGTGAATGGTCCAATATGGGATTATATGATTATATAGGGTTGTCAAATATCTCCCTTCCGCTTTTTTGCTCTTTATTCAATGCTTTATAAAAAGTGTTACAGTAATCGGATTTAGTTCAAATATGCGCCGTTTTGTTCGATAATCTGTTTCCATCTAGACGGCAACTTCATAATACCTCCCTCGTAGAAGCCCCCCTCCTTATTTGCGAAGAACTCGGACAGCCACTTTTCACAAGCCTCTTCTGAGTTCAACTTTACACCACCAAGGGCATTCGCCATGGACAGGAACAGGTGGTAATCACTTGGCGCTATGTCCGGGCTATATGGTGGATGCGATAAAACCTCCCATCCGAGCTCCCGTAGCTTCTGACGAGTCATCAACGAAGTGTGTGATCTGGCGTTGTCCTGGTGGAACACTATACCCCTCCTGTTGGCCAATTCTGGACGCTTCTGGTCGATCGCCTGCTTCAAGCGGTCCAGTTGTTCGCAGTAGATGGTAGAATTAAGCGTCTGGCCATATGGGAGCAGCTCATAGTGGATGATTCCCTTCCAATCCCACCAAACACACAGCAAAACCTTCCTGGCCGTCAATCCCGGCTTGGCCACTGTTTGGGACGATTCACCGGCCTTGATATTGTCGTATGTGATCCATTTTTCGTCGCCAATCACCATCCGCTTCAAGAATGGGTCGAGTTCGTTCCGTTTCAGCAGCATATCGCAGGCGTTGATTCGGTCCAGAAGGTTTTCTTGCGTCAAATCAAGCGGGACCCAAACATCAAGCTTTTTTTTGTATCCAGCCTTCTGCAGATGGTTTAAAATGGTTTGGTGACTAACTCCCATCTCCTGGGCGATGTCACGAGATGCCACATGCCGGTCTAACTCGATGGATTTCATGATTTGATCGGTATTTGTCGTCACAGGTCTTCCGCCGGCTGGCTTATCCATAGTGTCGTTTTCACCGGCTCTGAATCGTCGATACCATTCCTCCGCGGTTCGAAGTGATAGAGTACCATCCCCCAAAACACCATTAATCTCACGGAATGTTCCTCTAGCGGATATGCCTTTAACGAAGGAAAACTTTAAAATAGCGCGAATTTCGGCGTTAGTGAACTCCATGTTTACACGTCTATAACTGTTGAACGCAATATCCAAACTAATCATGCATAGCGTCGTTTTGTAGGTTATGTCAAGACCTTTCAAATGATGTATAGTATTGCCAGATACGAGCTCTGTAGCGCTTTGTACATAGCCGCGAAATTCAAAAGACAAAAAGGCGGAAGGGAGATATTTGACAACCTTATATTACATACAAGAATTATTATTACAAATATACATCAAAAGAATAGATTTGAAGTGCCAGTGGATATCAAGTCATATGTAAGAATTTATTGTATATTGCTTCTGTGGTGTAATAACTGTTGTATAAACATGATGTTTTTAAATTTTTATTATTTTACTGTGTTAATTGTGGTTACAGTGTGCAGTTTATAGTTCAAGTATTGTTTTTGAGTGACCTTTTCTTAAAAAGTAAGTACACAAAGTGAAATAGTATAAAAATAATTTATTTGTACATATAACACAACAATTGTACAGTCATGATGAGAATGAGTATGCTCTGAGAAATATTTACAGATCATTTACTAAATAAAAAATTGGTTAACTTATATATACATATTTTTACACTAGACAAATATCATTAATTATCACAACAATATTGGCTTCAGATCATCAGGCAAGGAGCATGCCATATCATCAATTCTTTGCAATAATTTCTGTTTTGTTGAAGATTTAACTGACTTTGAATATTCTTCTACTCTAGCCAGCTTTTGCTTTATATTTAATATCATGTCAACAATTTCAACTTCTTGCTTTCCTTTGACCCATTGCTTCACATCCTATATCGGAAGGAATAAAAATGAATAACACTATATTGATTATTATCACAAAAACGTATTAAAATTATTACTGCATCTGCTAGAGCCTCCAATTGAAGTGCTTGTAATTTTTGTGTGAGATTTGTATAGCGCTCGTTAAACCATCCATTGAAGTTTGCTGAACGAAAAAACCTTTTGTAAAGGCCTTCCCAATCACCTTTCAAAGACGAAGTTAATTGAGGGCCAGATTGAGTCAGAGTATTTAAAAATTCTTCTGGGTTAAATGTTTGTGGAACAGGGGCTGCCTGAAAAATATGCATGTTTACACAGTTTTTTATTAATAGAATTAAGAATTGGAAATGGCATACTATTACTTACTTTAAAAGGTGATACATTTTTCTGCAACGGCATTAAAGATGCTATATATCGTTCCAAGGGAATCATGAAACTTTGAGTCAGTTCTAAAAGATGACGCCTTAATAATGCAGATTGTACTTCCATGGGCCTTTTAGATCTAACACCTGATATTAATTTCTTTATTATCACTTTATCCTTTTGCAAAAATGGCTTATATTCTGTATATAAGCCTGGCAATGAATCAAATTTAAGATTGCCCGTCTTCTTTAGTTTTTGCTTGTGCATTGGTGTATGACCTTCGCATAAGTTTATTGTATGCGGCCAATGGTGTAATGTCTTGGAAAAAAACGGATTTGTAACACCTAAAATGACTGAAGGGGGTCCTTGTTTGTTGTTCGTAAATTCTTTAAATTCGCTATCATGTATCGTGAAGTAAGGCCGGTGGTCTGCACAGTAACTAAGAGGAGCTATCATGCTATAGAAAATAATGCAATTCAATTTCTATAAATTTGTGAATATGCGATAATAATATTATGATTTCACCTTATCAATGCCTCAACCATATGTGAACAAAGAGTAGGAGATGAAGCCATTACAACTATTGGTTCTGTGGTAAGAACTAATTCCCAAAGTAGATGTGTATGAGCTATAATGTTACTTAAAATTTGGTATATATTAAGTTCATATATTGATGATAAAATTCGCACTTGTGCTGGATTGTTATCACGCATATCCGAGGCTTTAACTACAGCAGTTTTGTAACAATTTTGATTCGGTATATATGTCTATAAAGATTGATAGTATAAATTAGTCTTTCAAAAAATAGTGCTATGTCATTAAATGCATAAAAAACTAAATAGGTAAATCAAAGGAAGAAATGATAATATATAATCAATTATATGCATTGATTGTTTTAAACTGCATTTTATGGTATACCTGAAAGACACTGCCTAATATAGGCAAATTAAAAATTTCTCCCGGGCATAAGTTAGGCCACTGACTGATATGATCACAAGCTACCTCAAGACTAATGACTCCATTATCAAAAAATTCAGGGGCAACTAATGAAGAAATCTCTAAGAATAGATTTACAAATGGCAGTCGAGTCAATAGAACTATGCTCTAAAAAAATAATAGTATTCTTTCTATTAATTCTTTATTCGAATCTGCACTGAAGTAATTTTGAGCAGCTTAAAACCTTTTGGAAATATCCTCGAGGTAGTGTAGCATCTTTAACTTGTCTAAAGTAAACAAATCCCCAAAAATATCCTGGATTTATTTGCAATGTAGGAAGAGTAGCACCATTATATTCTATTTGGTCTGCACTAAGTATTCCGTTTTGAACGGGGCCAGAGCTGCTTCTGAGTCTGATAATAAATTGTGTATCTCCCATACATCCTGAATTGGAATCGGGAAAAGCTAAGTAGCATACATTTGATTTTTCCAATTCAGATAAAGTAATATGGGGAGGATAAATTGCCTATAAAGAAAACCAAATGTATCAAGAGGCTTCAATAGCAACAATACTCATTAGAAAATGTAATAACACCTCTAGCGCTTGACCCAATTCTAAGTCAAATGTCACAACACAAAAACAATGAACCCAGTTGGAAAAGCATTGCCATTTCGAATTATCTGCTAGTTTTATTTGATTACTTTCTGTACTATGCTTTAGATGTTCCATTTCACACCAAAAACAAAAATTAAGCTATATAATTAAAAGACTGTCAAAACATTATAAAATATAAATTCTCGAAGCGTAAAGCATAAAAAGTCTGTGTAACATAAAATCCACGACTGTCAAAATTAATATAAAACATCATAACACGAAAACGTGCGTTTGTTGACTCTTAATTAGAGAAACAATTGACAGGAGCTAAATAAGAAAGGTCAGCAAGCCCTGAACAGGGTTGCCAGAGAGGAATTTTCGGCGATAGATTCGGGATTAGTTTAAAGATGGCCACTCCGTTTAATTGTCAAACAATTGACAGTTGGCAGTTCCATCAGTGACAGTAGATAGAAAAGATAATAAAAGATATAATATTCGTTATAATGGTGTAGTGAAAATTATTCGTGTTTAATACATTCATTATTTACTGGGCGGTAGTCAAATTTTCAAATATAAAATGTCCCAGAAGTACAGTAAAAGCTTTTTATTTGACTGTTAGACGTTCTGTAAATATGCCGCAAAACAGAAACCGTTAATATGAAATTTTTTTTTTTTTTTTTTATAATTAATTTATTTATATATATAACATTATTTCATATCTCAGGGAGAGTTGCCTGGTATGAGAGATTATGAAAACAGTTTTCATATAATATATACATTTCATTTGACTATAATAATCTATTTCATTAATATATATCTATATATAACTAAAAATATCTTTATATATCACTCTTCAGTCTTCTTGGTCTTCAATTTCCTTATAGTGTTTTTTTATTTTTCTTTTAAATTTATCGTCATCTTTGGTCATCTTAATATTGTTTGGCAATTCGTTATATGTTTTGCTGGCACTCCATATGACATTTTCTCTGAAATTCTTCTTTCTATGTGTTCAATGTGAAAATTGTTGTGTTGTCTAGTATAGTGTTCATGTATATCTTGATTTATGTCTATTGTTGTGCTTGTTTTAATTCGGTTAAATTTCATTTTGTGTATTAGTTTGCATTTCTCTATTTTAATTATGTTATTTAGTGAAAGATTATTTGTTTCTCTCTGTAAGTATTTGGTGGGTGTCAGATGTGGAAAATTGTATGCTATTTTGGTGGCTTTATTCATTATTGTCTGTATGTCATTTAAGTTAGCTTTAGTTGTTTGGCTCCATGTTGTTATTCCATATAAAATTAGGTAGTATTGTGTTTTAAGAATTAGTATTTTATTTTTTTTGCCGAAAGAGTGGATCCTTTTCAATGCCCCTGTTAATGTTCCAATTTTTCTTTTTATTTGTTTATATGTTCTGTCCATGTCAGTTTTTCATTTATTATCAGTCCTAAGTATTTTATGCTTTCCACTTCTTCTATTTCTCTATTATTTACTTTAATATTTAGTTTAGTGTTCTCAGTATTTTTTTTATGTTTGAAATATGTATTTTGTTTTATTGATGTTAATTCTTAGTTTATTTTTAGTTAGCCAGTCAGTGTATGTTTTCATGTCCGTGTTTATTGTATCTTCAAGCCTTTTTTTGTCCTTATCTGCATATACTATGGCAGTATCGTCTGCATATAGTATGTATCTGCCCTTTAATTTTACATCTTTTAGGTTGTTGGTATATAGCAGATATAATAAAGGACCTAAAACAGAAACCTTGTGGGACTCCACAAGTTATGCTACGACCCCCACTTGTAAAATTTCCCACCTTCGTCCTTACCACCCTTTCCACGAGAAAATCTTTAATTATGCTGTAATTGAAATTTATATGGGATCACAAGCGATACGTTCCTAGGTATGTACAAAACTAGTTATAAGAGTCATGTTGCATTAAGGAAAGTTACATTTACCAATACATTATATATTCTGAATAATCAATATACCGGCAACATTACAATTTGTTGACGATAAAACTTTTCGCTTTTACTAAACTTATCACTGAACAAAATATTATGTTAAAATAACAATAGTAAATGGTAGACTGACCTAAGGCAGGTCCATGATGAGAGAACATCATCAATCAATGATCTAAGGCAGGTCCATGATGGCGGAACACCATCAATCAATGACCTTTTCCTTCCTCGTTTATTATTTCCATCAGGGAATGCAATACCGATAAAAAATTTCAATACCAGTGTTTCGGTATTTTCTATTTTAAAACCAGTAATACCGGTAAAATGCTGGTATTTTTATTATCTTAAACAAATGTAAACAAAATTGATAGTTACTTGTACAAATATAAAAAAATGTATATACAACCACAACTATATACAAGTAAAAGATATATCTGTTTATGAGATTATGGAATTTAGAGATAAATTTGTTCCGAGAAATTTAAACTCGAGTGCAATATGTATGAACTAGCGCTTATGTAAAAATACCGAAAATACCGGTAATTTGAGGTAAATATCGGTATTACTACCCCCGAAAATTTGGGCGGTATACCGGTATTGAATTCCCTAATTCCTATTACCTTTTTTTTACCATTAATCACTTTCAATCATTTTTTTTCTAGTCCTAGGCTTGTTTTTCAGTTCTCTGTATTTTCTCTTCTTGCGTAAGTCATCAATCATCTGCATTTAGTATGGAATTTTATTTTAGTTTCTCGATCTAATTGATTAAATAATAAAAGCCATCAAGAGCCATCAATCTTGGTACTTGGTAAAAAAATTTGTTACTGAGCCCTGCCAAGGCACGCTATGCCCCTGATCAAATGCTTTTAAATTTTTGAAATTTGTGTAGCCGTTTTTGAGAAATGGTCGAAGCTCACATACAACCACCCACTGTTCTCAATTTGGGTGCCAAATGATTGTGAATCGGTTGAAATGTCGAGAAAATGAGCAGAATGGGTTTTCTTGCGAAACATCTTCTTAGGGGGCCTTCAGTAATCACGTGATCGATTTTTTGCAAATTTTTGGACCCCCCCTCCCCCTTGGTGATACGTAGTTATATTCAAAATTATCCCCCTTCCCCACCAAACATCACGTGTATTTTTAGTTACGAGAATTTTTTTTTCAATTCTTGAACTTTTTTTAAAAATGTTTGAATTTTTTTTAAAAAATTCTGGTAAAAAATAAATACACGTGATATCTTACTATACCCCTCCCACTCTCACGTGGTTTTTCGTAATTTTTTGTAAACCACCCCCTTCTCCTAAAAACCTCACGTGATTATTGGACGCCTCCTTAGGGAAGTTAATAAATAAATAAATATTTTAATTTAAGTTTTTGAACATTTTAATTAACTAATATTTTTTTCAAAGTTTAATGTACATTGAATATTCTCTTGCTTGTCAGTTTCTAAAAGCTGTTGCAATTCAGATGGATTCGCAGCAGCTCAATTAGATTCTCAAAAATAAGACTTATTTCATTACCTATTTTTTATATTATTATTCTCAATGAAAGTGAAGTTATTTAGAAGCCTGAAAGATTAAGGTACATAAATGACAAGAAATGTAATTTTGTTTTAGGGACAATATAATAAATAAAAGAACATAAGTATATACAATTATTGTTATTATTATTACTCATAAAGAAACATTATCTAATTTATAAATAGGTGTGATAACATATGTAATAATAAAAGTGATATTAAGAATATTAATAATAATGGCATAAATATGTTTAGAGTAAATAATGTAAATATAAAAATAGAAGATAAGTTGGAAACTCAAATATCACATTAATTTAAAAGTCAATCGGTGACCGCCAGTAACAGGGTCTACGATTAAGAATTGAATTCGATAGTTGAGTTTCCAAACATCAACGTAAAAATAGTAAACAACAACTAATTTTAAAAATATAAATTACCGCCCAATACCAATACTCTACCAGCGATTTAATACTTATACGTTTTTGCATATTTTTAACGTATGACGCTGTCCTAAAATTTTGTTTATTATTTATTAACATTTCAAACGCATTTTTAATGATTTGACGATCACTTAAAAAAATGCCACTATAGCCACACATAATTTCTATCATAAATATTTCATTATATTGAAACATATTTAATATTTACAAATGTCTTCTTAGTCATATACCTAATTTATTTATTATTTTTGAACAAAACCATACCTTATATTTTTGCTCGGTCATATAATTATCGATTCATACAACGCGGTTAATAGCTTTATGTTAAATACAATGAAATTTTTGTATGAATCCAACAATTCTATTTTTGTAAGAATATCCAAACATTGTTGCAATGCAAGTGAGGTCCTGTTTTATGCAATTCAACTCAATTACTTCGTGAAAATGATTAAAGTACCATTAGGTGCAATCGTAATCAAAATATCTTTGGTTAAAAGTATTACTTGTGGTACTTAAATATACTTTTTTGTTTTTGCAACTTAATTTTATAAAGTGAGTTTTTACCTTAAGCGCTGTTCGAACTTGACCCTTGCATTAAAAAAACTAACTACAATAATATTTTTGCATCTAAAGGGTATATACATACATATATATTTATATTTATGTATATATACATATAATTTTATATACATATATATGTATATATATACAAGTCTATATATGTATTTATTCAATAGATAAGTCCTGGATTTTTAATATATTGATTGTTTCTTTTCCGAACAGTAAATCCAATAATAATAAACAATTTGTTTTTTGAAGATGTTTAATAACGACGTTTTGGAACTAAATACGTTCCATCATCAGGTTTATTCTGTCAAAGACAATGTTTTTTTAAAACTATTGACTAGCATTAATTAATGATGGTTATTGCAGATTATTTAGAAAAATTATAAAAGAATGGATTATGTCCCAGTGTATAGAGTAACGAAAATTAACTAAAAAAAAAGTTTTATATAAAATTGAGAAGCAAAAATTATTTACCTGTAATAAATTTTATATGAAACTTTTTTTTAGTTAATTTTCGTTACTCTTTACACTGGTACATAATCTATTCCTAATAATTTTCCTAAATAATCTGTAATAACCATCATTAATTAATGTTAGTCAATAGTTTAAAAAAAACATTGTCTTTGACAGAATAAACCTGATGATGGAACGTATCTAGTTCCGAAACGTCGTTATCAAACATCTACAAAAAACAAATTGTTTTTTATTATTGGATTTACTGTTCGGAAAAGAAACAATCAATATATGTATTTATATACACAACAGTTTTAACGATTGTATATTGGCAAAGCGTCTTTTTAAGGCCACATTAGAGCAATTAACTCTATGGTATTAATTCATTTTTTTAAATAAAGAATTTCATATATTTGTGACAGTAGTCAAATAAAAAACAAATAATTTATTTCGCACTTAAAGACTAAGCGACGAAACATGCAGTTGAATAAATTATAAAACTAATTTAGACATTTACATGTCGAAGCTTGAATGTAATCTTGCACGTTAAATAAAATCTACATTATTATCTTGGATAATGACATAGTAGAATTTGAGTAATAAAAAATGGTTCTACCATTTTTTATACATAATTTTATTATACATTTTTTGTTTTAAAACCGTTTGTTTATTTAGTGTGCTCGATCAAACGAGAGAATTAAGGGGCAAAACTAGTGTGATTTTTTCAAAAAATTTTCAATTTTTCTATTATTCAATAGGTTATACCTTTAAAAATAACATAATAAAATTTAAATCGATATCTTAAATAGTTTTTGAATTACAGCCATTTAAAGAGTATATATATATAGTATATAGTATAACGATCATTTAATCTTTAAAGGCGTTTTTCTCGAAACAGCATTTTCCGAATTTGTTGCAGCGATTACTCAAAAACAAATGATCCGATCACTATCAAATTTTTTTTACATGTTCTATATATAATTTTCCGTAAAATGAACTATCGATTTTTTGATCGGATCAAAAATCGAATTTTGGCAGTCCAAAAACGACCAAAATTTTGGGTAAAATTCGACTTTTTTTTTAAAAACGCCGTCATTTTGCCAATTTTTGATTTTTTTTCTTTATCGTAGTTCATTTTACAGATAATATTATCTAGTTTAACAAAATTTTTTTTTTTAAATTTCATCCACGTAGAAGGCCGGAATCACTGCAGCAGTGAAGGACCTTTTTTTTGTCGCACCGTTGGAGATCGACGATAACTTAAAAAATATTTAATTTTTTTCTTCAAAAATTTTACTATGTATTCTTAAAACATGTATAAATATATTCCTAAAATTTTGAAATGATTGATAAAGTAGTTTTTTTTAAATAAATTCTCAAAAATCACCTTTTTTTAGGCGGTTACACTAGTTGTGCCCCTTAATGTCGATAAGATCAACTTATTAAAGTAGACGTGGATTAAATCTTCCCATATGTAAAATCAATCCAGTGGGATTGTGTCGAACAAAGTATAGGAAAGGACGATCTAGTCTCAATCGGGGTGCTCGTCCGTTGCCTTCGGGATTGCGCGCCTGTCGTGGTCTCAGCGCCAATGGCAGATACAGGTAACTGGGATCGTGAACAGGATCGTGGAAAGCTCGCTGGTAATCTCTCGGTTCGTCTGCTGTGCGAGCTTTGATCAGAGCTTCGTCGACCGATCGATTTGCTTCTTCGTAACGACGTAGAGCTTCTCTATATAACCTCTGTTTTTCTTCCTCCTCGACTTCTCTGTTGGATCTAAATATAATTTAGAAGTTTAATTCTAAAATTCCCGAAATATCACATAATAATATGTAAAAGTATGTTATAACTAGTGGGTATTGGTATTTTGCTTTGAAGCAAGTTACATGAACTTCCCGACTTAATCAATAAACTAGCTGGTATTGGTATTTTGCCTTGAGGCAAGTTACATGAACTTCCCGACTTAATCAATAAACTAGCTGGTATTGGTATTTTGCCTTGAGGCAAGTTACATGAACTTCCCGAAATGTATAAATAATTGCTTTAATTAATAAAAAAAAAATTAACTTATGAGTGATTAAAAGTATTCCGAGTGGATTTATTACATATAACGAACACGTTAACTCGAAGTATTTTCTAAAAGCAAATTTTCAAAAATCAACAATTTTTATAATTGAACCAGTTTCCGTAGGGCTTTAATGATTTAGTATGTTCATTAAGACTAAGTACTCTTGTTATACCAAGTAAATCGTCTAATTTTAATTTTAACAAACGTCCAAAAACTACTGATTTTCTCAAACTTTGATGATTTTTTTTAATTAAACTACTTGTCGTAAAGCCGTACTATTTCAGTAAGTTCTATAAGAATCAGTAAGTTCCATAACAATCGGCTCAAATTGTTTTTTCAACAGTTAATTACATGAAAACGGCTCGGTAAACTTTCACCTAAAACTAATCAGTATCATTCCCAACTAATATTTTTCGAACAGTTTTTGATTTTTCAACATCGATTTGGTAGTATGAGCTTAAATGTGGACGAAAAGTTTAACACTTTTTTTTCAATTTACAATGAAATGGCTTGGCAGATCGTCGCACAAAACTGACAAACGATAGTCCTCATTGAGATACATCAAATTTTTAAATTTCTGAAATCGGTTCAGACGTTTTTGAGCAAACGTTTAAAAAAGGTCTAATTTTGACAAATGCCAAAAAAACGATACTAATTTTGCAAACTTTGAAGAATTTTTAAAACTAAACGACTTGTCGTAGGGCCGTAATATTTTAGTATGATCTATAAGACTATGGTATCTACCGTCAAAAAAAAAATCATAAAAATCGCCGAATTTTTTTTTACCACTTTATTACAAGAAAACGGCCCGGCTGATCTTTACCAAAAACAAATAGCACGATTCCCAACCAATATCTTTCGAACAGTTTTTGAGTTTTCAAAATCGATTCAGCATTGCGGGTTAAAACGTGGACGAAAAATGTTTCACTTTTATGCAATTTACAAAGGAACGGCTTTGCTGATCATCGCGCAAAATTGATAAACGCTAGTCTTCATCGAGATACATCGAATGGCTTTCAAATTTTTGAAATCTGCACAGCCGTTTTTGAGAAAACGTCGATTTAGGGCAAAAAATCTGTTCACATACACATACACAAACACACATATACTTTTTCCGAATTTGGTCTCATTCGATTCAGAATGCTTGAAACGTCGAGAAAACATAAAATTAGCGAAACGGATTTTTTTATGAAAACAAACTTCTCCTTCGGGAAGTTAATAATGTGTAAAAAATCAGTATACCTATATCCTGAAGCCGGATAGAATTCCGTATGATGGAAATCGCCCACTGTATCTTCTCCACACGTTGTAAACGTATTAACTTGCAACATATCAGAGAAGTACAGATCTTTTGTCATGCCATTAAGACCGCGTAAATCTGCCTCATCTGGGTTGAATAACGTATCGAGACCCATTCGTTGAAGGGCGGTTGTAGCGTTTATAATGGAGCGATGAGAGAACCTTGGTATTTGAGCTTCCAGTCCTGGTCTTTCAAGTAAACATTGCATTAAACTAGACCATGCCTTGTCCTTGTACGATGTGTTGATGAGCCTTCTCTCAAGGCTTTCCAAGTTATCTCCCGGTGCAACTTGTCCTTGTTGTCCTGGTATCACAAATATTGTGCTGACTATTTTGTCTGGTCCGCCTATAGATATGGCTGTAGCATCTAATGACGCATCATAACCAGCGTAGAATCCTGAGCGATAAACAACAGCTGGTATAGGTACGAGTTTTCGTTGTCTGCTAGAAGGAAGTACCATGAAGAACATTTCACCATCTCTTTCCCGTGATGACCCAAGTGTGCAGTCAGTCTAAATTAACAATAAATCATTAAATTAATTTGTTTGATTATTTATATAATTCTTGTTAATTTCAAATACATTACCTGGAATATATTTGCTGATAGGGCTGCCAATGGCGGTCTTAGTGTAATCACATTTGATTTCAAATATTCTGGAATTTTGTCCCATGTTTGTCGTTTCACAAGAAGATTTGTTCTTCTTCTCACAATATCATTAATTACATTATAATTTACTTCCTCTACATGTCCGCCATAAAACTGTTGTGCTCTTTGTTTATAGAAGCCAAGTAGTTTTACTTTTGTTCTATCACTAAACAACTCTCTGACAAATGCAGATGTGGCAACACCAGACCTTTTATTAACTTCTATAGATTCAGTAACGTTTTTAAATACTAAATGAGGATTGAAAGTCACCATATCATCTAATTTCAGTATTTCATTCATTTCTTCTGATGTTGCTCCTCTCGCACCCATAAACATCATAGCCAACAAGGATGTTACTGCAAATGGTGAAATTACCAAGCCGCGCGATGTACTAATACCTTTATTTGTCACAGCTTGCCAATATTTGAAAGCTAGTTCATTGCACAGATCCGCAAATTCACTTATATCTTCACTTAAGCCAGCGGTACTCTCAAGAAGTCCTAAATTTTCTTTAGGAGAGGAACTGAATCGAATGGGTTCTGCTCCAGTATCTTCATTAACAATCTGAGGTGAAATTGGGCTATCAGTTGTTTGATAAACAAATTGTATATTTTCTATTTTTGTCGGGGTTGATATGGACGTTGTTTGCGCAGGTACTTTGGTAGTTTCACTTTGAAGGGCATTTATTGTAGTTACTATTTTCCATTTTTCATCTTCTGCGTAAGAAGAGTCATCATTCGTTTTAACTGTAGTTAAACTTAATGTCTGATCATTAGCAAAGGTTTGTGAATCGGTTTTATTCTTTTCGCTTTCTGTGATCAATATGTCTGACGTATCTGCTTGTAAGTCAACTGATGCAGGCTTAGATGAAATTATTTCAATATTATCTGTGATAGTTGTAGGATTGGCATCATTCGAGTTTTCTTGAACTTTAATTGTTTGTTGGAATTCCGGCTGAACGGTACTTTCAAATGTAGTATAAGGTGTATTTTGAGCTTCTTGAACTATATTTTTAATTTCAGTTGTAATCTGATTATCTGTATTTACAGTTGTAGTTGATTGTATATTTTCTGGTTGAGAAACAAGTAGCTCTTTTTGAGTGGTAGAATATTCATTTACATTTTGTTCATTTGTTGCGTATTCATCAGCTATTGTTGAAGCTATAATTTTATCTGAAGTGTTTTCGGATAAATAAGCAGAAGTAGATTGTGATTTAATAACAGTTTCTGTTGATTTTTCCGTTTCTATAGGATCATGAGTTTTATGATCAATTGTCGAAATTTGTTGTGCATCATCTACTGTCGAAGAACTATCGGGAGAATACGTGTCGTATAATGTTGATTGTTCATTTAAACCTTGCTCTGTATTTATTTCATCACTAACAATTGTTTTTGTAGTTGTGCTAAGTTCTACTGTTTTGTCGTTTATATAACCTAGTGATGTTTGTTCAGAATTAGTAGTTGAATATTCTTTATCTATAGTAGCTGAACCATATACTGCTTGATTGTTTTCTGTAGTATAATCAATCTCACCTGCATTAATAATAAATTTAGTTGTACCAATTTCTTCAGTCTCAACTGTAGTTTTTTCTTCGTCAGCATTTTTGTTATTAGGTTTTATAACATGTTCGTGCGTATTATCTTCATTATTATTTTTAATATTGTTAAAATCGCTAATAAATGTTGCGTTCGCTTCTGTTAGGAAGAGCTCTGGGTTGTTCTTCTCATATTCAGTTGTGATTCTAGGATTTGATTTCATACTTGTCGTATCAGAGTTTTTAACACCTTCCGTTGTTGATGAAAGTTTACTCTCAATATTTATTTTTATATCACTAATGGTGCTCACGTCTTCATTTTTGGACTCATTTTGTATATTGTCCTGGGGGTACGATTCATTTGTAACCTTGTTGAATTGTGACTCAATAGGATTTGTTGCATTTAATTCAGTTTTTATTTTTTGTGCATTTTGATGAATTTTATTGCTGTTGATTTGAGTACTTGAGTTCAATTTGAGGTGGTAGGTAGATGATTCTATAGGAATGATACTTGACAATTTATAGTTAGTGTTGTACGTATTCGCATAAATTGTGCTAGGTTTTTTATTTTCGCCTTTATTATTTTTTACTCTTTCGGTTGTAGCTTTTATTATTATTATGCTGCTGTCACTATCTTGTGATACTGAAGAATGATCTACAAAGTTATCGGCTTTTGATGTAGAAGTTTCAATATACTTAGTTGTATCATGCCTATTTAGTTTTGATGGTTGTGTCGTGAAATATTTTTGTGTTGTAGTTCCAATTCTGGTACCAAATCCTTGATATTGATCGGGATTTGCAGGATATTCTTCTGAAGATGTGAGTAGCGGTTTATGAGTTTGTTGTTTGTTTTGCAAATCATCATAAACTTCGTCATTTAATTTGTTTTTGATAGGTTTCTGAGATGTTGATGTATGCGAATAAGTAGTGGTGTCTATAATTCTTGTAGGGGTGTAATTTGGTGCTTTATGACTTACTGGATAGTTTTCTTCACTAGATTGTGAATCGTATGGATAGGAATCTTCAGTACTCGAAGATTCTGATGAATGATACTCATTATATTGTGGTTTGGTGTGCGGTCTTCCTGCTTCCATTGATACAGAAGACGTTTCTTTAACAACAGAGGTTTCATATGTGATTTGATCGTCGTTATTTTCTTGGATTTTAGAGGGAGCTTTTTGTGTAGTGATTTCACTATGTAGAATCAAAGGTACTGAAGTATCAGATGAATCATCTGACACCTGTGATATAACATTTGATAATGATTCTTGAAGAGACAGTATCAGCGAATCGCTTTCTGGTCTTGTACTTAGTGATTCATCATTCACGTTAGTAAACATTGATCCCATTATATCCGATAACGAATATGGTTTTAAAGTTGATACATCGTCAACATATTGTGTAACTGGAGTATCTTGATTTGAAGGTGTAGTGAAAACTTCGCTCTTAATTTGCTCGTCTTCTTTAGCAATCTCCGTATTTTCAGTGACACTAGATATTTTTGTATTTATGGTCGTCGTTGGAGTTTCCTTTATTTGATCATAATCTTTTACTTTGTCTGTTGTTTGCTGTTCGGTGTATAAATTAGTGGAAGCAGAGTCTGTGACCTGTTCATAAGCTGTACTCAATTTGCTATCGTCAGATTCATCTAATACAGCAATCGTCGAAGGGTTTGCGAATTCTGTGACTTTATTTATTTCTTTAGTAATAGGACTCTCCGTCGATTTTTCTGTCAACGTACTACTTGTTTGAGTTAAATATAATTGATCTGAATCGGTTTTTGTTTGTAAGACTTCATCATATTGGGTAGTTGGTATTTTGTTTGTAGTATATGTCGATGATTGGCCATTGGATGTTTCTTTAGCGGATGTTACATCATCATTATTAGTAGTTTTATAGTAATCGTAGTACGAAAATGTTGATCCTTGTTGTTCTTCGGTGTAATCATTTTCTAAGGATCCAGCATGAATTATAAATTCTTCTTTGGGCGTAGATTCATTAATATCTTGATAAGACGTTACTGTGGTAAATTTGGAAGTGTTTGAATCATCTTCCTGTGTTTGATCTATATTTTCCGTACTGGCTATTTTAGGGTTTTGTATATTTTCGGTACTCGATTCTCCAAATGTAGTTTGTATTTTATCACCATCATCTTTAGTTGTATTTATCTTTAATATATCAAAAATGGCTGGTATCGTATACAGTTGCTGACTAGTGGAGTATAATTCTTCAAAATTATGATATGGCTGCTTGGTATATAAGCTTTCAGTGCGACTGTCGGTCGTAAATGTCGTGCCCAATTTATGTGATTGGGTAGCCTCAGTTTTGATGATTTCATCAGACTCAGTATTCTGTGCCATATCTGAAAAAGTATTATCAGTGGGAGATGTTGATGTATACATTGTAGGCGCAGCTTTTGTTTGGGAATCGTATTCATTTGTGGTTAGCTTTAGTGAAATTGAATCAATTACTGTAGGCGCAATCTTACTTTCTTCAGCTAAACCATCCGGCTTAGTTTGTGAAATGTTATTTTGGATGTTACTATCAGGAGACTTATCTAGAATTTCAGGCTCTACAATGTTATTTACTGTGGTAGATTCAGATATAATATTTAGTACTGATGGCGCTGTCGAGATTGGAATATCTTTAACATGATCTACTTCTGATGATATGTTCTTATGAAGAGGTTTAATAATATCAACGCTGTATAATGAAGGTTTTGAGTTATTATCAAAAATTACTTCTTGAGACGGAAGACTTGAAGTTATCTCTTTGTCATTTTCTTGTATTGTGGGATCTCTGTTGGTTTCTGATGTCTTAATTTCTATAGATGATTCTGATGATGGTTTTGTATATTCTATTGTATAGAATAATTTATCGTCTAATGTGTCTTCCTTCTGTTCGTCTGTTACAGTCGGTGCATTCGATGAAGATTGATGTTTTTCTGATAATAGATTCAGTGGCTTTAATGTAGTTGCAGTGTCTAAGGGCTTAATTGTTATGAATGCTACATTGTTATCATCCAAGATTGTAGATAACGTTTCTTGTTTATTAGCATTTTCAATATTGACTTTCTCGTAAACTATTGGCTCGTTTGGCTTTTTAGTAAGTTCATTTAACTTATATGTGGATGATGAATATTTTTCGGTCGTTCCTGTATATGAAATCAGAGTATAGTTTTTAGTATCTTCTTTAAGATCTGATTCAGCTGAAACAGGCTTACTAAATGGTTCTTCCTTAGTCGTTGCGGAAATTGTATACGATTCTGCTGATTCGTTTTGTTGAGTTTTATCCGTGATGGGCTCTCGGCTTTCGGCAGGTTGCTCATTTGTGCTATTGCTCTTTAAAGTGACGGTGTCGACTACTTCTGTTTCTGGTGTCATTATAACTTGTGGATGTTTCTCTGGAATTATATCACCGCCAGTATTTCCAAAAATCGCCGGCAGGATCATACTCCATGTCGCGGAAACATCAGGTGTATCTAGCATTGGCTTGGTTAAGGTAGTTTGTTTTTTCTGTTGTTCCATTTCGCCTTTCATAACACTTTGGATATTTGCGACAACGTCTTTTACGCGAAGTTCCGGGGATTGAGGAATACTTAACATATCGGCAGTGTCGGCCAGGGTTTGGTCATCACTGTAAAGTGCTGCATCTCCATCACCGCCAGCTATAATGCCTTGGATTTCATCTAAAGTCATTAGTCGTTTTACCAGATCGCCAGTGTCGTCGAAGGTGTAGAACTCATAACGATCGGGGTTTAGGAGATTAATTGGACTTGCCACCTGTGAATTAATACCAGGCCTAGGGACAGGTTTTCCAGCCGCATCCGCGAAGTACGTTTTGCTTCCACTGCCATCATCCATTATTACCGAGACTGACGTTACAACACTGAAAATAAAAATAAAAAATAATTACAATTTTTAATCATTAATAATTAACTATTAATTAAAATGTTAAATGTGGATGTACTTGAATAATGGGGTAGTCAATTTTGAAGATATTTTCATTATAAAAAAATGTGACTTTATTAAACATTAATTATTAACATCTATATATTCGTATTATATTAAGTATCTCTTAAGAATAAAGTTATTTAATAATACAAATTTAATGCTGTGTTAAGAACTGTTCACGTACAGCTTGTCAGTCAGGTGTAATTTCTCGTTGAATTCAATAAAGTTTGAAAGCGCATAATGGGACTAATACATAAAATAATATTGTCCTGATTCAAATTTAATATTATACATCAAATTTAAAATAACTACTGAAATTTTATATATTTTTATATACTTATTTTTCTATTTATATTGAATTTTTCTAATGATATAAAAGTTTTTGGTTCTATTTACAAATTAAAATGAAGCGAAATAATCGATTTTCCACTTTTTTTTTATCTATTATACTTGTAGTTCAAAACCCAACGGTATGTATAATTTCAACAAACATGAACAATCAAATTGTGTGTTTTGATTCATTTCTTTGTTAGATTGATGTGCGTTCTAACGTTACCGGATTAATTTAAAAAAAATTGAATTGATTTCTTTTCAAAGAAAATTGATAAAACGCTTCTTCCACGTGACTATGCAATAAAGGTGTCGTATTTAATTTTTGTGTTTATATATAAAGAATAAAAGATGAAAGCGAAGATTGGTTTAAAATTAACACACATAAGTATAACAGTTAGTTATTAATTGTATTATTTTTTCTGGCTTTGGAAGTATCAAGAATTTAAAATATACACGCGAAAAAGTAAAATTATATGTAATATTATTTTTATGTTCCAGTTAGTGTATGTATTCTCAATTATTGAAAAATATATTCTTTTTAATTCAGAATTGTCCTTGGAAGTAACAATATTGCTTTCAGTTTAAATTTGTCCTTGTATGTGTCAATATTGTTTTGAAACATCGGAAATTAAACAAATGAAAAAAATGTTATCGTTTAATAACCGCACAAATAATTTTTTTCATAAATAATTATTAATTCTACTTATTTTACAACTTATTTTCAACTGTAATTAGTGATAATATTTTGAACCATTTTTAGGATAATAGGTATATAAAACTCCCAAAAATAAATTAGCAATTAACTATTGACGGTAAAAAAATATTTAAATGCGTCATAAATTCACAAAAATATATCATAAAATATTAGAAAATGTATCTATATATCAATAGATTGGAATGCAGAGATAAAGCTTTAATTTCAGTTTTAAATAAACTACGAGCTTTTAGGTTTGCCTTATTTTTTGTTTTTCACTTACTAATGGTTATTCCAGCAAAAATTCTTGATATAATAAATATTATTTGATATTTTCATTCAAAGTAGATATATGATGAATGGAAATCTATATAATTATTATGAATTGAATTAGTAAATTTAGTCAATTACATTGAGTTATTTCTTGTTCCGCTCATTAACTTTAAGCATGTAATTTAGACGAGTACAACTTGTACTCAGATGCATAATATCAAGGTTATTGTTATATGCAGAAAAGACATTTTTAAAAGCAAAAAAATTCAAAATATGACCGTATGTGTATATGACTATATATAATTATAATTGAGGATATTTATGCAATTAGTCAGCATTTGAAATATGATCTTTAACCGATCTTTTTTCGATTAGCAAAGTATTGTTATATTCAATTTAAAATGCAAAAAAAATGTTCTAGTAAGCGAGCTTTATAGGTTTTAGAATTTTATAGTGTACATCGTTTTAATTTTGCAATATTTTTATTGTCAATTTTTGAGCAAGAATCGTGATAAAATCTTAAGATGCATTAACTACTTACATATAAAAGATTAAGGAAGTCATGGCTCCTTGATCTAGCAAAATAACAACCAAAGAATCTCACTTAAGAAATTTTTTTAACGTTATTTATCTAGTATTGATGGGTTATATTAAATAATAATAATATAAAAAGAAAGAATTTGTAATTGGTTTTAAATGTAGCAAGTGTTTTATGTTGAAGAGCAATCATTAATAAATGGACTTTAAGATTTTATCTAGACATCCTACTTGTAAATATATTTTTATAAAACTAATTCACAAAAACCTTATATTACAGAATCTTAAAAAATGCAAGGATCTGTAGTTTTCAAAATAATAGAGAATATGTACTTGGTGACAATTACGAGATTTGGCCACTTGGTGAGTTTTATTAATAGATTAAATTCATTATCTCAAAAACATTTAAAGTATGAAATTTTTTAACGATATCGTTTTAAAGTAGAAGCCATAAAATGTGTCATGAGTCATCATCTTGAATCTTATTACGTCGCAATCAGAATATAAATGGTAATGTAGGAATATTCATAACGAAATTATTTTGTTTTGCCGGTAGATTTTTTGGTTTTGAGCTTTTTTATTTAGTTTATGATACCTGAATATAATTCTTATGTATACGTTATTTAATTATTTTATAAGTTGTAATGTTATTTGTAAGTTATATTCAGTAGTTTATTTATATAACCTTCATAAAAGTTTACAAATTAAAGTAATAGATATTACATAATTGTTGATGAATATTTCTCACAAAATACCAGATCATGGTATCATTGTAAAAAAATGAAAATTTTTATTAAAAGCTCATGAAATTTTTATTAAAATTCCTTTAAAATTTGAAAAAACATATTGCATTTGTTTGCTTGATGGCTATCTTTATGCAGCCTATAGGATAAGAGACAGGTGCCAAATTTTAGAAAAATAGCCAAAAATCATATTTTCATAATTATGAGTTAATTGGGAATTTTACAGAACATAGTTGGATAGTTGCTTGTGAATTAGTTTATTTGGTTTAGACAGTGTAGTTATTAAAAGTCAAATTGGACCTTTGTGTCCCGCCCTACCCTATGTAAAAATTATTGTCGAAAAATTGATATAGAACATTAAATAGAATAGGTTATACAAAGTATCTACGTAAAATGAAGAAGTATGTAAGAAACCAATTTGTATAATATAGAACATTGAGGGGCTGATTCTGCCGTAAAATAGACCAATGTTTTCATATAAAGTGGTACTAAAAACTGTCAAAATTCTATGTGGTTGCTGCGGAGTCGGGCGTTTTAGATAGAAAATCTAACCTAGAAAACGCACAAATGACAAAAAAAGGTGTTACCATAACTAGATATTTGAGATATGGCTTGATGGCATATGAGCGAAGTTGCATTTTATGTCTAAAACGCCTGTTTCCATAGCAAATACATGGCATTTTGACAGTATTTAGTAGCATTTTGTATGAAAACTGGAACGTAACATAGACTTGCATAACATGGGTCTATTTTACGTCAGAATCGGCTTATGAATATAATAGGACATAAAATAAAAATGTTGCAAGTGGCTAAATGCTGTAGCGAGGCCTATAATAAATAAACTACCTAGTTTAGCGTGAAATTTAGGTTAGGCGAATTGGAATAAAAATCATTTCCCTCATGGCAATTTAAGCGCTTAATTAGAAATTAAAATTGCCCATTACGATTTATGTCCGTTTCCCATGTGGCGGGAATGCAATATTTGTGTTTATGAACACAAAACAGTTATGTTTTAAGTTGAGTGTGTCCATTGAACCATTGCATCAAGCGACCACGGCATTCAAATAACAATCTCGTTTGTAGCAGGATGCTCTCGGCTTGTACCTAATATTTTTACACGCACGAATTCATTCTAAATCCGACGTTACGTTAACTAGTTAACATTATCAGTTTTATTTCTTAGCGATTCAGACGATTCCGTTTGTTTGAATGGACACGAGGAATTTATTGTTTTTGTCAAATTTCTGGCGAAACATTTTTACAGTTTCATTTTAGAGTTGATATTTATTTAGATATATGAGTAGCATCGACGTGCTCGAGAAGATACTATATAATGTCAGAAAAAAATTCATATGGGCTTTGGTAAGATCCCGGATTTCCCCCTTGTGTCCCGGCAATATTTGTCCCGGATTTTGTCTCAGATTGTCCTGGGTCTTCGAAAAATATAGGTTTAAATTTAATCTTTGCAATTACTTGATAATAAAATTAAAACTACACTTCAAATATTTGAAAATGAGAGTGAGAATGAGAGTATATATAGCATATAATCGAAATTTTGAAAATGAGAGTGAGAATGAGAGTATATATAGCATATAATCGAACAGTAAAGTACTTACTAGAAGCTCGTAATTTTGATTTAAAAAGAAATTAATTCATTAATGTAATATTTTTCATATTCTTAAATAGTATTTTTATTTTAAAATTATATTTAAATTATTTAGCAGACTTACCCCCCCTCCCCATCATCACTAAAAATAAAAAAGACAGCAGTCCCGGTTTTGACTTAAAAAAATATGGCCATCTTAGCTTTGATAACTTCATTAGATGATTTAATTAAAAATCTATTTTTGACAAAATTCCTGAAAAAACTATGTTTTATGCGACACATATGTCTGACATGGCCCTATATTAAAACTTCGTTTTTCTTCTATCAAATGGCGTATGTCAGACATATGGCTGGCATGGCTCATGTAGAACTTTTTATCGTCAGACACATATGAGTGACATGGCGATCAACGTGTTAATGAAAAGATAGAATATTTTTAAATAAGTTACATATCATTTTTTTCATTGAACTTAAGAGGGTATTGTAGTGTAGAGACATGAATTTTAGGCCATTTTTAAATCATTGTAAAAAAGAGGTAACTAATTTTTTTACTGTCATTTTTTTATATTGTATTTATCAATGTTACAAGAGTACAGAAAAAAGTAAAAACAAAAAAAAATAACAATTTTGAAAAATTAGCAGTTGCTGAAGTGGGGAATTCTCTAATAGTTGAACTTTTAAAATATGAAACAAAAGATCGATTTTTTTTGAATTTCTACACTAGAATACTCCCTTAATATAAATTACAAGCTATCGTAGAAGACATTTAGCAATTTGTATGATTCATCAATAAGAATGAAAATAAAAAGATGAGCATTAAGAGTCTACTCATAAGTGGTTCACTATTAATAAGTACGAGATAATATCA